TAAAAATATATTATAAAAATATATTATTATTTATTTTATATATAAATTACTTACCGATCAGTTATAGTTTTATTCATTCAATCTTCTGTTTACTCATTTACAACTTATTAATCATAACAAGTAATTGTTTATTAACGTTATTTTATTTATAGCATTACATATCTTCGTTAATTTATAAGGTTTCGTAATAATAATTTCGTATTATATTGTATTTATATCAATTTTGTTCGGATTGGTCGCAATTGAAGATTTAATTGATTAATATTCGACACACTGTATAAGAGAAGTTGGATTTTTTATTGCGGTTTTAGTTCCTCAGTAATTTTAATCGAAAATTTTTCGATGTTGTGTTGGATAAAATCATGATGTAAGAAAATGTAACAGTGTGTATCAAGTGTGTGATGACCGCCGAAAAATAAGCCAGACAATTAAATTCATATACAGGATGTTACGAGACATATTCAGATCAATCAATGGTAAAGATGTAAATAAAATTAAATTTTATTAAGCTTATTATTCAGCGGCCATTATACACACTGTTACACAATTATATCTTTTTACATCATGACTTTATCCAACACAACATCAACAAATTTTCGATTAAAATTACTGAGAAACTAAAATGCAATCAAAAATCTAACAGCACTTCTCTTATACAATGTTAAATATCAATCCTTTTAATTGCAACCAATCCAAACAATATACTGAAATTTTAAGATCGAGTCCGTAAAATGTATCATTTCATCAAATCATCGAAGATTTTGATTTTTTTTAATCATACGTATAAATGTATACACGCAAAGTAATTTATATACAGGATGTTTCAAAATTAGTGACTCAAAATATTATAGTAAGAAAATGAAAATTTAAAAAATTTAAGTAAAAAACGTTATTTATAAATTTTCATTTTAAGCATAATTTCTGAAATATAAAGGTTTAAATATGGTCAATTACAGACTACATTTCAATAATTACCTATAAGTATTATGAACGCGCTAAGTAGATACTCATCAGTAGACTGCCCCAGACAGCACAAAATACTAAAAGATAACGAAAAGAGGTCTTTTTTTAAGTCGTCTTTCCGACAAAGCGGAAAGGTGTTTAAAAGATGACGAAAAGACATTGTTTTTAGATTGTCGTTTCAGCAAGACCAAAAGATATCTATAAGACATCTTTTAGTTTTGTCGAAAAGACAACTTAAAAAAGATATCTTTTCGTCATCTTTCTATGGTTGTCATTTTCGCAAAGCAAAAGGTCGACTAAAAGATATTTTTTCGTATTGCCGAAAAGACAACACGAAAAAGATATTTTTTCGTTATTTTGGTACTTTTTATCACTTATTCGCGAGCAGTACGCGATATTGCCACCAGATAGACGTGATGGAGTTCAGTTTCTCGTATTTGAAAATCATACAGGACAGAATAAAAGGTGCAGCATAATGAGAAATTTTACTTGTGTTCTAATAAACACTAATAAAATATTTTTTGTAATCGAGTCCCCAAAGGGGACTATGATAAAAGATAATGACTCTTGCACATAGGACACCGCAAACATTGCAGGAAATTGGACGTATATTGTCAGTCATACAATTTTATTTCGTTTTGTGTAAAAATTAATTTAGGAATTTGATGTATTAAACGTTATATGTATCAAAATATAAAAATATAAAAGAAGTATTAAAGATGCCTAAAAGATATCCAAAGAAGTCATCCTTTAGTCATCATATAGATAAGACTATAAGATGACTAGCAATGCGACATCTGTCGTCTTTTAGTCATTTTTTCGTCGACTATATTCTTTCACTAAAAGATATCTTTATAACAATTTAATTGTCTTCTAGCCTTGTTTTAGACGACTTTATGCTCTCTGGATATTTATACGAAATACTTAATTGAATATTTATAATAAAATGCATATTTTGCATATATAAATTGCATATTTACAGATGGCAATCTCAACCTTTTTACTATATTTATTAATAACTTTTTAACGAACAACAATCGACTGCTAAAACTGTCCGATGGTTAATATTCAGTTAAGTGTTTTGCGCAAATATCCGCAATCTACTCATCCGCAATCACTGAACTATCATACGATCAAGCGACTTAGGCCCGTATTTATAGTCGTGTTTCTGCTGAGAAACTCAGCTGAAACTAATCTTGAGTCATGGAAATAGTTCAATAGACGAATCTCGATTTGTAATTGCAATTCAAGTGAGGAACTCAAATGAAGTTTATCTCGAGATATTTTTTATGATTCATTAGTCGAGTCTTGAAGCAAGATCTCGTAATGACCTTGAAATGTATATCCTCTAATTCTTTGAGTCGAAAAAACTTTCGTATCACGTAAGTATAGTCCGGAGATAACTTGAGAAGAAAAAATTATATAATATTTATATTAGAGTGCATTATCATCTATATATATGTATATACAGGATGTCTCGAACTTTTTTACCAATCACTTTTGTGTAGATAGAACGGATTAAACTGAGTCAAAAAGTCCTCTACCATTTTGCAATTTTCGTAGTAGTTAACAAGATATTAATTACTAAAAATTGCCAAATATTGGTCTTGAATAATTTTTTACTCAAATACTATGAACTTTATAGAAAAGCTGCAAGAGACAAAAATAATTTATTTTCTTTTCATAAAGTTTTGAGAATTTTTTCAGAATTTTTTAATACCATATTTTCTCATGTTGGTTAAAATAAGAAAATGCAATACTAAAAAGTTGATAAAAAATTCTCAGAACTTTATGAGAAGAAAATAAATAATCTTTGCCTCTTGCAGTTTTTCTGTAAAGTTGATAGTATTTGAGTAAAAAATTATTCCAGACTAATATTTTGCAATTTTTAGTAATTAATATCTTGTTAACTATTGCGAGAATTGTAAAATGGTAGAGGACTTTTCGACTCAGTTTAGTCCACTAAATCTACACAAAAGTGATTGGCAAAAAAGTTCGGGACACCCTGTATATGTATATAATATATTAAAATTATATTATTTGATTTCTTATCAAGATATGACTATTGAATCATCTGTATCTCAAGACGCATCTGTGTCTCAGACTCTATTCTGAGTATCTCATCCAGCTGATACGCTCTTTAGATGAGAAACGACTATAAATACGGGCCTAATGGATATGTGATTATCGAAACATAGTCTGTAATTGGCTATATTTAAATCCTTATTATGTAAAAAATTGCTTGAAATAAAAATTTACAAATAACTTTTTAATTTAATTTTTCAAGAACTATCTTGCTATAGTATTTTGAGTCACGAATTTTGGGACACTCTGCGAGCAAGTAAAAATAATATTATAGTATTGTTTAAAAATAATAATATTTTTGTATTTCCATAATGCAAATACTGTGCTGATAATATATTCACAGAAATTCAATTAGTACAATTTGGACACGTCAAGTTCTCTCTTTTATTATATTTCAATTGATCACTTTAATTACTTTTAATTCGTCTTATGTGTCTTAGAATTAAAAGGATTGTTATAAATAAACTACTTCGAGAGATCTTTTTTTAGTAATGAAATATATACTAGTTACATTGATTTCGTCTCTATTTTTTAACAGTTGTTTTCTTGAATAATTATATATAATACATATATATAATGTATATAATAATACAATACGTATAAATTATTTATTAAGAAAATTAACCTTTTTGGGTTTAGGAAGAATATAATATGCCTCGTAACTGCTATAATACTTTTTTATTTACTTGGTATATATTCTTTTTTTTAAAGATTTTTCTATGATACAAATATTTACTGAAATAATTGTTGCTTGAATTGTAGCTGCAATCGATACTACTCCATTAAACATTTCGTATCCGCTGCGCGTTTCACGGTGTATTGCTGATTACCCTATTTCGCATTACAAATTTCAAGAAAATAATACCGTACCACGGATTTCACCACGAAGATCCCCAGCGGCAGAACTCGCTGATACGCGTCTTGCCGTTCGACGCGCGCAACAGGAATCGATTTCACCGCACCGCACTTTAGAAATTCGCGGAATTGTACGACCTGTGCACTATTATAACTCGCTCACTTAGACAGGAAGAGATTTGCGGGTTTTCCCGCGAAAAGCGCATGACCTCATACCACCTCGCATAACGTCGACTTGCAGCCAGCCGATAAGACTTTTCGATCCGTGGCTACTTGAAAAATGGCAAACATTCAGACCCGCACCATCTCGCGTGCGAGAGGCGTTTATGCGTGTTGGCCTCGTAACTGCTATCGCGGCCTATGCCTAATTATACAGGTGGTGCGCTACCCGCCTTTCT